CCACCATGGCATTACCTCATCACAGGCCTAGAAGCAGCTGAGCCAGGCAGCCGTGCACTGAAGCCTCCCAAACTGGGAGCCCGAAGAAAGCTTCCTTCCTTCAAGCTGACTCTCTCAAATAGTTTTTCACAACAGAAAGCTATTAGAGAGGAGGAGTGGCAGAGGAAGAATAGAAGTGGAAAGGGCAATCTTACCCAAGTGTGATGGACATATCTTCTGTTGTTTTTATGACAGGGTCTCACTATGTGGTGAGACTAGCCTTGAACTCACTGTGCAATTTAGGGCAATCCTCCTGCCTCAGCTTCCTTATTACTGGGGTTATAGATTTGCACCACCACATCTGGTGGATGTATCTTACTTTTGTAAATTTTGTAAAAATATGTTCATGCAAATATATTGCTAGAGCTGTAAATGAAGGGCCCAAACCTTCAACTTCACTGGCTGCATGGTAAATCCTTCTGGCTCGCCTTATTGTCACCTGTCTTAAGTATTCTTTCCCTCAGTCTGTTTCTGTACAAGGTTGAAGGAAATGGCAATGAGGCGGTTCCTCCTGCCTGTCCCACTTGGGGAGAGGCATTCCAGTACCTCTGGTTGAAATTCTGAGTACATCTCAGCTAAAAGAAGCATTGTTAGCCTGTGTGTGAATTTTTATTTCTTTATGGGTTCTAAACCTTTATTGTCAGCTGCTCTGGGTACCTTGCCAAAACAAACAAATAGTTTTGTTTTCCTGGGACTGTGTGTGAGCTCTCCTGTAAGTGGTGGAATGTCAGGATGAATTACAGAGGGTTAGAAAAAGAGGACACATAAATCTAGGTCTCGTTTGGTTGCTTTGCTTTACAACTTTGTTATTTTTCTTATTTAAGTAAAGTTTCTTGCTTACCTTTTTTTTTGGTGTCTGGAATCGAACTCGGAACCTCACACTTGCTAGACAGGTGCTGTGCCACTGCCCAGCTATAACCCCGGCCCTGTCACTCACTTTAGGGAATAAACCTAGCATATTATGCTAAGATGCTTTGCTATCTTTTACTTATCTTTTCTTCCAGATTTAAAACTAGTGCATGAAGGGCCAGGTAGATGGCTCAGTAGAATAAGTGCTCCCCTGGCAAGCACAAGGGCCTGAGTTCAATCCCCGGTTCCACCAAAAAAATAAAAAAATTAAAAACACAAAATAAAACTAGTGCATGAAGCTGAGGAAAGGTACATTTTTAACATCATTCTTGTTTCTTAATGACCATTTGTTTCTACTATGGAAGAGTTAGCTGTGTTGAAGCCATTTTTCTAGGCCATCAGGACTTAGTAGATGGCACATGTGGGTTCTTTCCCTCTCTGTGTGGTGGTGGGGAATCATGGAGGCCGTGTACTCATATGTTAGAATGGTGGAGAAATGAAATACAAGCTTAAATTACCAGCTCTTCTGCATTGGCTCCCAGAGTGCACCTCTGTCTCTGATTACTGTTTCATAGATGAGGAAGCAGGCTTCAGGATTCCAATAGTGAAAGCTGAGTATACAACCAGTCTCTAGATACCCAGCCTTGACACTCAGAGAATGCCGAGATCAAGCAATAATACGGTAATTTGAAGGGTGACTTCTTCCTTCTGGGTATCCTGGTGTTTTGCAGTTTATTTCATTTTTAAGAAATTTATATGGCAATTTATGGCCTACTTCATAAGGTTTTAATACTGAAAACTGATTGTAGTGGACTTAAGTACCAAAATGCTAAATAAAAAGTATCTCAGTCATGGATAAAACCCCCGAACTTTGCTTTAGTACTTTTATTTTTATTTAGAGAGAATTCCGGAATTGTATACAAATGACAGAGCAACTAGGAATTTGGCTTAAGAATGTATAGCAGTGTAATAATTACTCGTTTCCACAGAATTTTTTTACATTTGCCACTAGACCAATCCCCAGTAACTTCAAAGGAGCTAAGGAAGAGAAGCGTGTGATTAAAAACCTTGATGATGTTGAATTATAGTGCTTTTTGCAAGTCTAGATTTTCTTGGCCCTTTTTCTGTGTAAACCCGCACAACAGCGTGGCACACCGTCTGCACTGTAACAAACCGTCCTCTTCGTTAGTGAGGCCTGAATGCCTGGTGTGATCATCACAGCAGGCAGGAGAAAAGCAATTCGCTTGTGTAGGCCTATGTGGAGGGCCCTTCCGAGGCTTGCAGTATTTATTGGTTTGTACTGAAAGTCCTTTGAAGAATACAAGAATATGGCTGGCTTGAAAATTTATTTTGTCTGATGACCTTTTGGGAACTTACTGTGTGCCAGAGAGGTGAGTGTCTTGGTCTTGGTTGACCCTGCGTAAAACAAAGTGTTAGGACCAGAGAAGGATGTGTGCCTAGGGCTTCCTTGAAGGGCATGGGGCCTGCACCTGGCGTCCAGCACTTTAGGGTGCCATCTGGTGGTAGCTTCCGGAATTGCAGCTGCTATTGCAGCACCACTCCCTTTTCTGCCAAGCCCTGCTGTGAAGCTTATTAACTGCTCATTTTCATTTGAGGAAATGAGGCTGCTTTGGATTAAGAGTAATGAAGAAGAGATGAACTGACAATAATGGGTCAGAGATGTGGCTAGCAATTGAGTCTGTAAACAGCCATTGTATTTAGTATTCTTTTAATCTATCCTTTGTAGGAAAACAACTCGAAATTAATTTCAAGATTTTATGTACTGGGAGAAGCTTTGGCACAGTCTTTCAAACTCCCAGGTGGCAACAGTTGTTATCCTCATTGTAGGATATAATGGTAGTTGGGTAATCTTTACAGTCAAGGAACATCAATCATACATCTGCTGCATCTAAGGTAGCACAGCCAGTGCACAGCTTGATGGGAATCGCTGAGAGTGCGGGAATCTGTGCATGAGCCAACAGCATGACCAGGGCCGAGTGTGGTTCTGGATCACGTCTGGGGTACTGTGGAGGAAGACTGGGAGGAGGGCTTGCAAGGAAAGGGAGAGCTGAGCAGGCTGGGGAGGTGTTTGGGGCCTGGAGAGTGGGCTGGTGTGTGTTGAGCTTAGATGGAGGAGTGGACCAGCAGTGTCTCTGAGGAGGACAGTTCTGCGTAGTGACCGAGGAGGAGGAGACAGTTGAGGTCCTTAGACTGTAAGTGGTTGGAAGGGAGAATTGAGCTACCTTTCAGTGAGGGTAAATAGTTCACAGGTGAGTTGATTTTGGCTGGGTCCCCGGGGCAGTTTTAGCGCTTTCTTCCCCACTTTGTATTGAAACTGTAAAATCAGTAAATGAAGAGTTTTGAAAGAGTGGGTGTTCCAAGTTTCTTCTGTTCTTCACAATTGATAATTCTTTGAAATTAAAACTATTCTAGAAGGAACATAATTTACCAGGAGACTTTAAATTACATTTAATGGTACTAATTTCAAAGGGAACTGCTTGCTTAGAAATTTTAGTAGCAAATTTTAAGGTAGAATAAAGGGTAGCAGCCTTCTATGATGTGGGTAAGTGAGAGAAAAATGAAAGTAGGGTTAAATTTGTAGTCAAACATGTTCTGAAATCCAAAGTAGCTGCCAGAACTGGGTAGCAAAATGATCTACGCTTTCTAGCAGCTGAGGCAAAAGGGAGTGAGATACTCCTACCACTTAATCTTCAGAAAAATGTTCTTTTGTGGGTACTCATCAAAATTCTGTCAACAATATCCCCTTATCTAGTAGAGTGTCAAATACCAAACAATTACTTTTTGTAATGTCCCTCAACCTTTACTGGTAGTGTAATAACGGAAGTGCTGTTCAGTATAAGCACCTTTCTGAAACCATGCAGCCCCAGTAGGCAGATCTCTAAAGCTCTAGCTTAATTCATGAGTAAACTGTATTGGGAGGCTGAGGAAGGAGGATTGCTGTGAGTGCATGGCCAGCCTGCATTACATGGCGAGACCCCCATATCCAAAAAAAGAGCAAAGTGCAGTAATATATAAAGTGGGGCTGGGGAGGTTTCTTGGTGGTCTAAGCACCTGCCTGGCAAGCACAAGGACCTGAGTTCGATCCCTAGTATTGCATGCTGTGCTGGCCCCGGGTGCACAGTGCCAGCCCCAAAGCCTGGCTTGTGGTCCAAGCTCTGGGGAGGCTGAGACAGGAGTATCACTATGAGTCTGAAGTGTGTAGCGAGACCCTGTACCAAATGAATGAATGGAAAGTGAACCAGATGTGATGGCTCATAACTGAAATCCCAGCCTGGGCTACACAGAGTTCAACCAGCCTAGAATATACACACTGAGAACCTATCTCAAAAAACAACAAAACTTAGGGAAGTGTAAAGCAGTAATCCTTGACTATTCATTTTAGATCCCAAACTTGTCTGGAAGTGGCTAATAGCTGTAGATTCCCTGCTGTGCCAGTGCATGTACACGTAAGAGACTGAGAAGTTTAGAGGAGTCAGGATCTCTCTTCTTTGCCCTGCTCCTGACTCAGCCACATGCTGAGCACCTTGGGTCTTGAGTGGCAGGAGCCTGCACTGAGTGGCTGGTGAGGCCTGGGCATAGGGTGGCGGGGTTGAGAAGGTGCATCCATCTGCTCTAGTAGGAAGTCATCTCGAAGAGGAGACGTCTCCATTTATGATGGTTGATGAGCTTGGCAGTGCACGTCTGGACACAAGAGATTTACTCCACATTAGCAGAATGTGGTCACGATGTGATTTTTGTAGAGTATAACTAATACACTGAAAGCTCTAAATCTCTCTTACAGAAAAAAGCACGGTAATTTTAGTTGGAGAAATTGTAAGACAGATGTTACAAAGTGTTCTGAGCTGCCTGAAAAAGGAAGAAATTTATTATTATTGATAGTTGATATTCTTGGTCAAGAGCTCGTTGAATGCTTGATTTTAAGGATTTACAGCTTCATAATGAGCTTACAGTCCTGTGTGGAGCGATCTTGGGAGGTGGAATGACTATTTGCTTTGGACATTGGTTGTCTTTGAGTCAGTTGCATGTTGAGAAACATTTGTCTATCTAGTTACCTACGTAAGAGTCTCATTATGGTTTCTTTTGTGTTGTAGGGTCTTAATCTTGGGCGCTTCCGGTGGTGTTGGTACTTTTGCAATACAGGTAACAAATTTTTTAACCTCATAAATAAAAAGTTTTGTTTACATGAATTTATAAATTCACATATGTAGTCTGCTTGTCCTTAAAAGCCAAGAGAAGGATAGTTTTTATAAAAGCATTGTAATTTCGATTGTTCTTGCAGAAGGAGCATGTTCTAATGCAGGAGGAAATGTTCCCCTTCTGGAGATTGAACATGTGAGTGTTTGCATAGGAAATGTCAGGGAGCTCTTAGGAAGACCATGCATAGTACAAGAAAATGGATGTTTAGAATTGAATAGGAAGCAGCCAGCGCCAGTCAGTACTTCTGCAGGTCTTTCCTTTGGGTTTTTGAGACAGGGTTTCTCTGTGGTTCAGGCTGGCCTCAATCTTGTAGCAATCTTCCTGTCTTAGCTTTCTGAGGTGGGATTACGGGGTCCCCACCACAGCTGGCCTTGTGCGGGTCTTTTTGTGGACATTGAAAGGGTTCTTCTAAAGTGTACATAGAAGTGTGGTAGCCAAAGTACTGTGAAGAGGTGACGCTCTCCCAGAGCGACTTACACACTCAGTGCGGTACCAGTCCCAGGGCCAGCTGCCTTTTTTGTGTAAGTGGGTAAGTTTATCCTGAGTCCTATATGGAATTGCAGAGGTCCCTGAGGTGCCACTCTTTCTTCAGTACAGGAGCTGGTGAGCACCCTCGGAGGCTCTGCATGTCTTTTCCCTGGAGGGAGGATTTGGGTGCTGTGCACCTCCTGAGACCTAAACCTTTTGGGGACCTGGCTGATGCTCAGGGCTTCCCATTTCTCTGTTAATCCAACTTGGAGAGAAGAGGAAGGACTCATGAGGGGTGTACATCTTGACTCTTCCATTTCTGATTCTTTCTGTGGTGCTGCTGAGGATAGATATCCATGACTCAGTCCAGACACTCTCTTAATAAATGTTTTAAGTAAATAAATAAATAATAGGAAAACATAGGGGGAAGAAAGGAAAGAGAAAGATCATATTTTGCTGCTGAAGGTGAAAGTTGCTGCCATGTAGGAAAACCATTTGGTGCCATCAGATAAATTTGAATACATGTTGCCCTGTGATAATCCAATAATTCCAATCTTAGGCATATGCCTTATGCTTATGCACCATGTTTACAAAAAAATAGGTACCAGCATTTCAGAACAAGACTGTTCTGTTAATTTGCCCCATTGGAAACAACACAGCTGACCCGTCAATGGTAAAATGAATAAGCAGTGATAGATTCTTACCTTGTGATACTATAGCGCCAGCGCCATGAAAGCAAACCATAAAACAAGCAGTGGATTTCGCAGTCGGAATATTGAGTGAATTCAGATACAAAAGTGGATCCTCCTGTATGATTACATTTAGTTACATTCAATTGCATTCAAGAACAATGAAACTTGTAGTATGTAAGAATACCTACTAAGTAAAAATCCTTTTTTTAACTTCAAAACTCTATAGTAATTGTGGTCATTGTTCTAAGGGAGTGGTTTATCAAAAGATATGTACCAGCATTTCAGAACAAAACTGTTCGGTAATGTGCCCCATTGGAAACAACACAACTGTCCCATCAATAGTAAAATGAATAAATAGTAATAGATACAGTGTGGAACGAAAACTAAATGAGGTTTAGAAGGAGAGTATAGTGGGTCCATATATGCTCTAAGAAAGTAAATGTAGTGCAACTTGTTCTTTTTAAAAGGATAAAATAGAGAATAGCATGTGCTAAAATTATCTTAATGCTTTCATTAGTCATTGCTGGTGGTATTAGTATACAGGCTCTCATATGTGTAACATACAATAGAATAAATAGGTATTTAGGTATATTTTAATCCTGCCAAACCTTTAAAAGCATAATTCTCAAGAGATACAGCTGGAGCAGAAAATCACTAAAAGAATGCAGCCTTGGGGCTGGAGAGATGGCTCAGTGGTCTAAAGCACCTACTTGAAACAAGCTTGGCAAAGCACAGGGACC